TATAAATTTATTTGCAACTTCAGCCTTAGATAGCATAGTAGTTAGGGGTTCTGGCTGCCATATCGTTTGGCCCTTTGCTGAATCTTGGAAAAGGCAGAAATGTCTGTAACTGTATAGGGTCTGTGCGGCATGAGATTGCTCAAAATATTGGCGAGCCAGACGTGCTTTCGTGTGGTTTAGCGGCAGGGGAAGAGGAGTGGGAAGCCTCCAGATCCGTCCGTCGAGGTGTACTCCACCAAAATTGACATGAACCTGTAATACAGGTCCATCATACTTGTGTGGGACTATACCTCTAAGACCATTTGAAGTTCGAGAGTCTCACCTATCCTATCCTGCCATCGTCTCAGGAGATTCATCAGAGTTCTCGCATTAATGACACTTAACATTTTCATGGAGCAGAATGGAATTCATAACCTAAAACATCATCTGCATCACAGATGAATTAGCTATTAATCAAAATAAGCACGTCCTTAAGGCATAGAGTAAAAGTGCACCATACAAATGTCTTTAGGAACAAAGGAAGTAGGGCATCACAAAATTTTACCATTGCCGATTTTACCATGGAATATATGGTGCAGGTAAATAAGACCGAGAGCGAATGAATTGAAAAATCAGGCATAAATTTATGCGGCCAAAATCTTTGGGCTCAAAGCCTCTGAAAGTCTTAATCTGGCCTTGATTTGCAATCAGTACTCAAAAGAAAGCGGTGAAAGTTGATGCGATTCCGATACTTCCCATTGCCACCATTGCAGGGAATCCGTGACAGGGCTCGCATTATGATCCTGGACGTTGCCATGCAGGATACTGGAATTTGACATGTGAGAAATAATCTGTGACAAGCACCCAGAACAAAATGACGAGATTTGTTGGCGACGAATCCCACCATTCTCCACGACAATGCCCTGTCTTAGAATACGGCAGCTGACACAGATCTACTGTGACAGTAATCTATTTTCATTACAAGAATATCAGATTAATAAAAATGAAGAAAATAATCTCATAATTAACTTAGGAATTTGTTTATAGATAACGGCATGCAGTCCCTTATCTTCCTTTTTCTAATCTTTCTTAGATTATACTTTTCACGAAAAATTACCAGTAAAGCTTTATAAAAAAATTATTTATTAATGACCTTTGTTAGTTAACTGTGCCAGTTTAAAATTCTGCCAAGTGCTATAAGTTGCATTAATTTTCTATGCTTAAGTTTCCATTGTACATTTTCAGCAAATAATTATTAGTAAATAAAAAATATGAAAGTAAAAATTATGCTTCTTTCCATCTTGCGCTCACAAATCATTATGCGAATATCCATTTACAATTATTAAATCCTGAAAAGCGCATGGCTGCGATGTTATCGTCATGCAACGATTTGTAGGTACTTTATTTTTTACCAGGATATTTTCGACGACGATGTTTTTAAACTGCGAAGTTTTTGAACCGCTTTATTTCCGACGACAATATTTTGTACCGTGATGTTTTCTCTTTGCTTTATTTTCTCCCATGATGTTTTCAGCCACGACGTTTTTGCCTTGCGTTATTTTCTCCGTGACGTTTTTGTCGCGATGTTTTCGGCGGATATCCGTGTTACCATTCATTCAATAACAGTAGATTTGTTTTAGATTTTCCCAATTTTTTTATTAGCCACTGTACATTTTAATTTTTAATTCATTAGCATAATAGATACTTTCTAGCTGATTTGTTTATTCTAAGGGAATCGTATAAAAATTCAATTCCGTATTTTTAAGATCGTTTGGAGGAAGCAAATTTCTACAACGGATTATTTAATCCGTTGTAGATGAGTTATTTAATGTCTTGTTTCTTTAGAATACATCATAAATAATTTTCTTTTCGTTTTAATTTATTAATTATTTTATGAGTTTGAAACAAATGTCTTTTTTATAAAAACGCTCTTTTTAATTATAAAATTTTTTGTTTGTTTATTTAGCATTATATTTAAAAAAATAGCCAACTTCCGATCGATTTATGACGGTGCGTCAACGAGGCTTTAGAATTTCCGATACACACTCTCGCTCGCTGAACATGATTTTTTTTTGGGGGGGAAGGGTATAGTGTCGCCATTGCTCGCTTGGAATTCGTTGAGTTTCTTAATCAAAAACTCAATAATGCTTTACAAAAATATGAAAGAGATAATAAAGCAAATTCCAAATTCGGGCTTCCAGATGCCCATATACGAATGGAGACATACGTTATTCAAAATTGGATGGCTCTAGGTATTTTATCACAATGCGAGAAACATACATACATTTATGCAGATTCTTCATTATTTAATTTCTTTAAATATAACACAAGGCGATAATATTTGGTGGCAACAATTTGAAAAGTGAAACGAACATTTCAACGCAAAATGCCAAAACGAAATTATGGCTAATGTACTTTGAGCTAAAAAAAGAGAGAGAGAGAGATGTATAGCCTAACAACAGTGATAACTGATGATATCGTAGTATTTATAAGATATTTTATTTTATCCGTAATATATAAACATCATTAACTCATTCGCTAAATGTCAGTGACTCTATTATAAAGATAAACCAAGAGTACAGCCATTAATCTTCCATTTCCCATTGCCTTCGGTTGAAATACAAGGATGGTGTAAACAAAAGTAAAATATTAATAACTTAGTTCTTTCATTTCTAATTACAGTAAATAATTAGTTTCTAATTAATTGGGTAATAAGGGGAATCACGCTCACAGTTAATTCAAAAATCGTGGTTAATCAGACGACAGGTGCCCTCCCCCCTTAAAGACGAATAACTTACTTACATTTTAATTAACAAAAAATTACTGTTCACAATTTACTCGTATTTTTAAATAGTTGAATTTATAGAATTAATTTATTTAATTACTTAAATTAAATCAATATTCAAAAGAACTTTTTATTTATTTATATTACTCTGGTATTCCGTTAGAAGTCAACGGGAAAAGAAAAGATTAATGATGGTACACTTAATTTACTTTTACGACTAAATAATTTATTTTTAACTGACAATTTAATAATGTTGGTATATCCTAGATTAGATACAATTAAATTATGCACTGCAGCGGATGAAAATAATTCCTAATACTGTGTCTTTTTTTGCCATCACTGCTATTATCCCATGCATTTTCTTCTTGTTTTTCTTATTTCTCATAGAAATTTTGCTTTACTTTGATGGTTTGCGGGAGTAATTTTTCTATCCTACCAAAGTAAACAAACTTAAATTATTTTTTCAAACAACGTTCGGTTAATCCTCTCCCGGTTAATTGGGAATTGACTGTAATTGTTCTCATTTTCTTTACTTTAAATCTTTAGAAGATTAACCTTCAGATTATTCTTGATTTGTTGATAATCATAAAAAAAAATTTTTTTTTTTTTTTTAAATCTGAAAGCTTCCAGATTTTTTTCCAAGGCTTTTTTTTAACGTTTTGGGGTTACCCTTTTTTGCTTCCCATTTTTCTTCAACTTTTCGCAAATTATTTTCAGTTCACATTACCTTTAAAAGAGAACTTTCCATTCCTAATTCTCTCGCGCCGCTGGAAATAAGTTTTTTTTGGGGGGGGGTAGCACATGCCCATATTCGGGTGGAGACGTGCGTGCGTTATTCAAAATTGGATGGCTCTAGGTACCGATCTTTTATTACGATACTAGAAACATATGAGTACATACATTTACTCAGATTCTTCATTATTTAATTTCTTTAAATATAACATAGAGCGATAATATTTTGTGGCAGCAATTTTAAAAGTGAAACGGGAATTTAAAGTTTTCAACGAAAAATGCCAAAACAAAATTAATAGCCATTATGGGCCAACGCCCTTTGGGCTAAAAAAAAAATCTTTTATTATATTACTCTTGTATTTTATAGAAGTCAATGAGAAAAGAAAAGATTTAGTTGGTTGTACCCTTAGTTTATATTTACAGCTGAACAATTTATTTTTAACAGGCTATTTAACAATGCTGCTATATTCTAGATTAGGTGCAATTAAATTATGAACTGCAGCGGATTAAAAACAACTTCTAATACTGCCCTCTTTTTTTTTTTTTTTTTTTTTCTTGCCATCACTGCTATTATACGATTCATTTTCTTCTTATTTTTGTTATTTCTCATAGAAATGCTTTATTTTGGTGGTTTGTGGGAATACTTTTTCCGTCCTTCCAAAGTAAACAAAATTAACCTAGTTTCGGCTAATCCGCGACCTGGTTAATCCACTCCCGATTAATTGGGAATTGAACTGTAATTGTGCTCATTTGCTTTATTTTTAAGCATTTGGCTTTGGAAGATTAATCTTAAGATTATTCTTGACTTGTTGATTTGAGTTCCTTTTAAATACTGGTAACCATAAAATTTATTAAGGGGGGAGAGAAATCGAATAACCCACATTTCAATAAACAGAAAAATACAGTTAATAATTTATATGGATTTTTAAGTACTTTATTTTGAAGAAAATGTTTATTTGGTTATGTACGTAAACTAAATACTAAATTAGCATTCCAAACAATGTTTTTATTTGTTTTATTCATATTACAATATTATTATTCATATTACACTTTCATTTCGAGACAAGTCAATGAGAGATAGAAATTTAACAGCTGTAACTTTATTTTTATGAGCCAGCAATTTACTTTTAAAGGATAATTCAGCAATGTTGATATATTCCAGGATATGTACAATTAAATTACCTACAGTTTCGGATATAAACACTTTCCTAAAATTCTGTGATATTTTCTGAAGTCACTGCTGTTATCCGACAAATTTTCTTCAATTTTTTATATCTTTGGCAGAAATTTTGCTTTATTTTGGTTGTTTGCAATAGTAATTTTTCCATCGTTGTGCAATAAACAAACTTAACTTGTTTTTTATGTGAGGTTTTAGATAACGGGGAAAGGATTAATCGGGAATTGATTATGTTTACTCTTCTAATTATTTATGATTTTTTAAATATTGATTTAACTTATGAACTTAAATTAACTTATAAGGTTATTCTCATGCTTTCCTAGCGTGCCTTCGTGGTGTAGTGGTTCTGCACGCTGGGCTGGTGTTCCAGAGGTCCATGGTTCGATTCCCGGCGAAGGGGATTGCTCATTTGTCCATCTCTCCTGCTTACAAAATACCCTAATGTCTCTATAAACTTATTTCTTCTTCAGATTAAGCAGCATTAAAATACAGGTAAGTTGTTAACAGTTTTTTTTTCTGTTAATTATAATATGTATTATTCTTTTTTTTTTTTTTTTTTTTTTTTTTTTTAACTGCCGTCAGATTTATTGTGATTTTCAATTAGCCGCTAGAAGTTGTCGCCAACATTACATCAGTAAATCGGGATATAACTGTAACGGTTTTGAGACTGCGAAGTTCTGTTTGTCACTATTTTTTCTACCAAACTATTTTAAACTGTAAAATGTTGTCTCTCCTTGTCTTTTAATCTATACATATGAAGAAGAAAGTCTGTGTGTTTTGGTTGTCTTCTAATAACTCAGTCAGTACTATTGCTATCGTTACCAAACTTTCTACAGTTCTTTTCTGGGTCCTGGAAAAGGTCGACGGCTACTTTTTCCAAAAAAAAAAAAAAAGTAGCTAAAATCAGAGATTTAATTAAAAACTGGGAAAAACGATAATTTTCGCCTTCAATTTTCCGAGTGGCAACAGTCTCGCAAGCTAGAGATGAAATCTGCTTTATTTCGAAAGTTGTTGCTACTGCTCGCTTTCAAATTTTAGAGTTTGTTAATAAAAAAATTCTAATTTTAGGATGAAATAAAAAGAGCACTGCCAAACATTAAATACATTATTCCCGATTTCAAAAATTCGTGGGAACCCATTTCGGCTATTTCCCTCTTCGTACGACTTTAATCAACCGAAATATTAATTAAAAACTCTGAAAGCTCTAATTTCCGCATCATTTCTCCGAGTGGCAGCAGTCTCGCGCACTGGAGATAAAAATGCTTTATTTCGAAAAGTATTGCCACTGCTCGCTTTCAAATTGTAGAGCTTGCTAATCAAAAATTTGTAAGTTTGCAATATATATATATGTGATGTACCAGCTTTTGTTCGGAATAAACAGATTGGTGAAGAATCATAGATGTAGTCGTAGCTTAAATTATCAGACGATAAGTTTAAAAAACAGGATCCATTTATTATATTTCAGGAGAAAATAGCAGTTACAAAAATTAAGATCTCCGGAGTAAATAAAAAGAATTACTAATAACTTTTTTGTATGAAGTTTACTGCATCGTTACATTAAAGAAAAGACCAGGATATTCCTTTGCGAGTCCTTTTATAGCCTCTGGAAAGGCGGAGCTTCCAAGAAATGACCTCAGGTTCATCAGCCAATCCAGTTCGCTTTAAATATTTTTAGAACATTCTATAACTGTACGTGTAGAAAAAGGCGGGAAAAACAACTTGACTACCGGGCTGTGCATTTAATTCCACGTACTTTCAAATAAGAGACCATCGCCATTACAAAAATGAAAAGAACATACAGTTAGAATTTTAAGAGTATTTTTTATTATGGAATTTTATTATTACATATATAATATATATAATTTATTTCCTAAACAATATTGATTAATTGATTATATTATCTCCTAAGTTTAATTAAAGTAGAATTATTTTAAAAGAGTGAATCCCTACTGGTAAGTTATATTTGAAAGATGTTTTGAAGCAATTTTGAAAGCAAAATGTTAATAATGTTTACGGGGACTGGAGTAGTTTAAATCATCATGAAGAATAAAATTTCAATTGGAAAAGGAAAATTAAAAACATGTAATCATTGTCATTGATCGGAAATTAGTTGACTTTTCAAGGGGAACAAACCAACTCCCGTTCAATGACAATAATAATTCATAAAAATACGTAAATACGAAAGGTTTCGTCTAAATCGATTTAAGATCATACAATATATATATATATATATATATATAACGAGAATGTTTTTGTGTGTCTGTCTGTTTGTTTGTTCGCGTTATTGATTTCTGATCAATTATGATAATTTTTTTGCCACATTTAATCAACTAAAATTGAATATAGGTGAAATATTGGATGGAACTTGAGCTTTTACGACCATTTGATGAGAAAGACGAAAATCATTAAAATCTGAATGCCATTGTTGCTTTGCTGATATAAAGAGAAAGAAATAGCCTATTTTTCTATCGAAATTTTTTTAGGTGGGTTCCAAATCGCATCAGAATGAAAAAAATGTATGACTATAAATCGTATTTTTTACATCGTTATTAGAGAAGGATTACCGCAGTGTTGTTCTCTTTGTTGTTAGATGCATTACTCTCAATCTAATCTAACTGGCATCGGGTACTTCCCGATGCCAGTTATACTAGCGGAAGTACCCGATGTTGACTACCGTACCGATGGACACGAGTTAGAATTCTGGAGAAGGCATGGATATTGCCGGAGATGCCGATATCTTAAAGAAGTTGGCTTTTTAAAAGTTAATAAACTAATCTGCCTAAGGTAAGAAGGCATCCATTTATTCCAGGGCAAAGTTCTGAAAGTGTCTATTTTAATGTTGAATAGCCGATTTCCATAACTGTATTCCGCTTTCATGAATGGGATTCCAGGGAGTTTTCTTAAATAAAAAGCACGTCCTTTACTTGAAAAGTGAGCATTTCGACTTACTATTTTTCTGTTAACTAAATCATAGCATTTAATAATCATTAATCCTAACCTTCGAAACGGTTACACCTTTGCCTCCGAAATTCCAAATTTCATTGGCATCGCATTATTACTTGAGTAAAGGACGAAACACCTAAACACCTACGTATTTATTTCTTAATTATTGTTCATTGAACGGGAGTTGATTTGTTCCCCTTGAAAAGTCAACTAATTTCCGATCAATGGCAAGATTATTGCTTTTAATTTAATTTCTTTTTACAATTGAAATTTGTTATTATGATTTAATTCAAGTCCTGTTAAAATTTTAACAATTTACATTCATGTTACTTTAAAAAATTTCGGAATTAAACTTACAACTATGGATTCACTCTTTTAGATAATTCTACTAAAATTAATCTTAGGAGATAATATAATCAATATTTCTTTAGTATATATATATATATACTTAAAAGCCATAAAACATATTATAGGACGTAAATTTCCAGCCTGGCCGGGCAGAGAGGTTTAATGGGCAGTTTTGCGCATGCTCAAATTTATTAAATTCTTTCAGAAAGGCTGTTTTTAGAGTCTGACAACAATAAATAGCGACAGGTAAAATTAAAATTCCAAAAGTAATGTTCAGTAAAGTTAAGACGCAGCCTAATTTACCACATGCCAGATATTTAATATAAGTATATAGCAATTTGCTAGTCATTTCTTTATCTTTGTTTGCGTGTGAGTTCCGTGTTAATTTATTATCACTTTTAAATAGGAGTATCCTAATTAATAATGTAATTATTTGATGTAAATTTATTATCACTTGGGTTTAATTTCAAGTTACAGAGTGCGCCAGTGAAACATTTTGATGTGTGCTCATACAGACTACCAAACCTTTTGGAGTAAGAAACATGAAAGATAAGCTGCGCTGTCCACCGGGGATTTAAACCCCGAATCTTCCTTTTACCAGTTAGACATGCTAATTGTTTGCATCACGAAAGCAAGCACGTAAGCAAGCACACCGATATGCGATAATTTCTTACATTCTTATTCACTTAAAAGACGACTAGGAAGAAACAAGAGTGCAAGTCAACCAAATGTAGGAGAATTATTGTCCGCCACATTTTTAGTTTTTAGAGACGAATAGACATTTCGGACCAAGAAATATGAAAATTCAGTTGTGCCCTCTCGAGACTTCCTACGTCAGATTTTTCATTTGCTGGCTGGAGGAGTTACACTTACAACTTACAACACGACAGTAAACAGGTAAATGCAATAATTCTTTACATACTTTCTTGTGCTTGATAGCATGTAAGCAATATCGTTGCACCAGCCTTCCAAATCATTGATTTATTTAGAATTGCTTCTGTTTATTTGCTTAAGCCAATCACTTTCTTCTTAGCCTTCCAGATGGTAAGCAGTAAGGGGAACCAACTGCGGTACCGAAGGGCCTAGGTTCGAATCCCGGAGAAGGAATGGTTTTAATTCTTCGTCCCTCCGTAGGAGGGAACGGCGACCTCCTATTAGGTGTCTCCTCAATAAAATCTCCTCAATCCAATTCTTGTCTCCTCAATCCAATTCTTGGATTAGAATTTGGCTCTTGTATGACACTAGAAGTATGGATGTTTCTAAAGTGCAACTTAATACAGAAGAGTTGGTCGTTTGCATTTTGGCTGTTTATTGGTATCATATTTTCTTCTCTAGCATTTACTTAAAGTATCAAAGTTAGTTGAAAATATTATAGCAGGACATTAAATCTCCTAATTAAAAAAAAAAAAAAAAAAAAAATCTGAAATGTTTCAGATTTTAAATTACGTCCAAAGGGGCGTTTTTTTAACGTTTTGAGTGTTACCTTATTTTATTAAATATTTTTTGCAATTAAACCATAAAATTCAGTCAAGAGCAATATCGCAAATAATATTAAATTAAGCATATCTTTAGAATTTCCGATAACACAGTCCGCGAGCGGGAGATATAGTATTTTTTTTTATATATAACGTTGCCATTTCTGCTTTTAAAGCATTGAGTTGTAATCAAAAAAATTCGTTAAAGTTTTACAAATATATAACATTTTGTGGCACAGTTGAAAAGTGAACCGACGTTATGAGTCGACGCAAAATCGCCCAAAACGAAAACAATAGTCCTTCAGGGACAAGCCCCTTTGGATAAAAAATTCTGGAAGGCTTCAGATTGTAACAGTCGCAGAAAGAATTTTTTAAGGTTTATTTACGTTTTCGTGCCATAACAGGAATTGCTATGTCCGGGAAAATTCTAAAATACTGATGGCCTGGACAAAGGAATGCAGATAACATTGGGAAATCCAAGCAGACTTCTTGCAAAAATGTGCCCAAAAAGTATTGATCATATTGGTGAAAAAAATAATGGTAAAACGGCCAATTTCGTATTTTTAAAAGGATTTTAATCAAGACTATTTCGCGTGGCAAACAAACTGGATGACTCCGACACAGGTCGTCGTACTATTTTTCATATTTCATATGTTGATATACATAGACAGGTTACCAATCATATTTGGACGTTATATTACAGGGCTGGACCCTATCCAGTTTACT